ACCTCCAGACAAATCATCCAGATGACAGTCAGAAGCCCCTCTGCCAGGATTTATTCAAAGGCTCGGCCACCTGCGTGGACCGGATATGACAGGATTTGAAATGAGAATAACTGCAACCTCGTTGGCATGTAAATCCCTTCCAGCTCGATGACACGTGCCTCGCTTTGGAAAACCTTCTATTTGCCTGATCTGCCTCAGGGCCAGGTACAGGGAAACATTAGCAGAACCCACGTGTGACAGGAGACCAAAAATACCCAAGCTCTGCACACCCTTTCTGTGTCTTACGGGGACGTGGCGGCCACACACGCTGACCACGTGCATGCTGGGAAATCGGTGCCTGAGCGCAGCGCATCTTCCTCTTTCTTCCCGTCGCCCTCCTGTCCCTTCAACCCTGCTTTCTTCCCCACTTTGTGAGGTTTTCTTTCCAGTTTGTTCCTTCCTGCTCTGTGCTAGCCCTTTCCCCTCCCGCTCTTCCCGCTCTCCCTTCTCTTCTTCCTCAGACATCTGCGCAAGTCCTTCCTCCTCCCCACCGTCTGCCCTGCATTTTGCCCCTTCTTTTCCCTTGGGTTTCTCACACCACAGCCACAATGCAGGATTTACATTTGTGTCCCGTTTATTTCCCTTGAAACCGTGGTCTCGAGAGGCATCCGTGTACTGAAGAAGGTCTCATGCTTATGCTCCTAAGGGCAGGGCAGCAACCCACTGTGTATAAATGCCGCATCCTCTTCGTTCACTCATGGCTTTCACTGTTTACTGGTACATTTTAGATGCACATTGCAATCAAATTCATTGGAATTTGTACCTATGCATGATAAATTTTGATTTCTGTGTTTTGTTTTGTCTCTAAAGCTTAGCTATTATAAATTGTGCTGCTGTCAACTTGAATATGCATAGATCACTGTGATAGGAGGCTTTTAGATGATGGGAAGATACCTAGGAGGGCAATAGCTGGGTCCAATGAAACGCCTAGTTTCAATCTTTTTTTTTCTGTTCCGGGGGTGGGGTTCTTTTTGTGTGTGTGCAGAGTCTCACTATGCAGCTATGACTCATAGTGATCCTCCTAGTACTGTGATTACAGGCATGCACTACTATACCTCATCTTGTTGGCTGCCTCATTCCTCCCAGGAGTGGGCCTGGCTCAGCATATGGTGCCAGAGAATCGAGCCTTGGTCCCTGTGCTTGCCTAAGCAGGCGCTTTAGTCCACCGAGCTATCTTGCCAGCCCTCTGTCACTTGATCACCTTCCCGCCCAAGCAAAACTCTATCTCCCTGGTTCCAATTATCTGCTTTTATTGGGGGCCGGGGAGATGGCTCCGTAGAATAAGCGCTTCCCTGACAAGCGCAAGGGTCTGAGTTCAATCCCCTGTTCTGCCAAAATTAATTAATTAATTAATTAATTAATTAAACATACTATCTGCTTTTATTTTACTTTCTTGGTGAACTCCAGGGAGTATACATCTCTTCAGCCGTGGACTGGAGAATTGTGTTTTCCAAAAATCCAGATATTGAAGCCTTATCCAACAGACACCAAATTGGAAGAATGGGGCTTTGGCGAGATAATTAGATCCAAAGAGCAGAGCCACTGTGAGCAGGGTTAGTGCCATTATAAAAAGCAACGCAAAACTTGTGTCTCTGCCTTGTGTGGACACAGCCATGCACAACGGGGCCCTCACCAGAGCCCAGCAGTACTGCCATCCTGAGTCTCAGGCTCTAGAAGTCTGAGGAGTCAATGGTCACTTACTCTATAGTGTTCAGCCAGCCTTAATTCGTTAAGTTACTACCGTATGCAGATTAATTGTAGGCAGGTGCTATTTTATTGATACATTACATACATGTTAAACACCCACAAAAATAGGAAGTTGAAGATGAAGGTACAAACCAGCGGTGCAGCGTTTTCCTTCCCACGTCCAGTGGTTTGTCCCAAACAAGCTCCAGTCTGGAGAATTCCTACCAGGGCAAGAGTAACCAGCAGCCAAATCATGGGTGAGAGCACAGTGGGTGGGACATCAGCATCGAGAGATGAGGGGCCTCCCTTTTGGCTCCATCTGTCTTCTGTAAGCTAAAGCTGAAAGCCCTCCCACAGAAAGTAAATCATTTAACCTCAAAAAGATGCAAACAAAGCCATGGATAGGACCTTCGTGTGACAGAACTCTCAGGTGCCTTCTTCCTTCCTTGAGACCAAACAGAACAATCTCCATGGGTGGAATCAGTCTTCATAAATAAGGCACAGGGGCCGGGGAGATGGCTCAGTGGAATAAGCGCTTCCCTGGCAAGCACAAGGGCCTGAGTTCAATCCCTGGTTCCACCAAAAAAAAAAAAAAAACATAAATAAGGCACAAAGCTCATAGAGAATGGAAAGAAGGAAGAATGAAGAAAAAAAGGAAAACCAAAGTTCTGCTTCTTTGGAGGTCCAAAGCGTAAAAAGGGGAAGGGAAAGACTGTGGGAAGACAGAAAGGACTGGGAGACAGCGGGCACCGCAGGCAGGCAGTGCTGGGAAAGCCGTGGAACTAGAGAGCAAGAAATGCTGATGGTTTGGGGTCCTCCTCAGAGTATTAGAAGAATGTTAGGGTTGATTGCTTGGAGAATCATCAAGGCCTGGGAGGAGAAGAGGCCATCATCTAGAGCCAAGGTAGCTGGGATTCAGACCAGAGACTGGGAGCAGAGGAGAGGACAATAGGAACACAGAAAATGAAAAGGAATGAATGGACTAAGGAGGTGGTGTGGTGTGATGAAAAGAGAGAGCACCCAGACCTCACTATTTCTTACTGCACATGAGGCTGGTCATCACAGTTCTGCTTGTTGGTGCTGATTGCTTAAAAATGGAAGCATCCATTGTGTACGGCCTTCACAGCCTAATTATCAGGGAGTGCGGGTCCATGAAGCCACATTTTTCAGGACCTTTCTCAGCTTGGGGTTGCTTAGCATCAGGACAATGGAGTGCAGGAAGAGGCCGGCATACAGGACCATTTCGTTGGCCCAGAACCACGGATTCCAGACGGTGATGGGGTTCTTCACAGAAATGACCAGAGTCAGGGCATATAGTACATGCAAGAAGAAGAAGAAAGAGAGAGACTTGAGAGCCGCGCTGTGGGCCTGTGTGCTGCGGTCACGTGGCCCAGACATGAAGTCCCTCATCTGCCCCAGGTGCCAGTACAGGGAGTACATCAGTAGGATGATGGAGACCAGAAACAGCAGGATGGGAGCGAACCACATGACCACCGAATGATAGAAAAAGTACCAATGATAAAAAACACTAATGCTATGAACCAGGGTGCAGTTTCCATGGGAACTCTGGGAGAGCACCATCTGAGTGAACACTCCATTCCCCACAGCTGAGGAAATAGCCGACAGGCCGCTGAAGACCAGGGAGCTCAGCAGCAGCGCGGGCACTGACCGAGAAATCCTCCACTTCAGCCAGAAGAACACGGGGTGGGCAAAGGTGCAGATCTTCACACAGTAGAACACGGACAGCCAGGCAGTGAGCCAGAAGGTGAGGGTGTTCACGAAGTCCCAAAGGATGCTAAGGTAGTTAACTCTGTAGTAAAACAAAGAATTTCTCCAAGCTGCTCAGGATGCTTAGCCCGAAGAGCCGGGAAGTGGCGAGACAAGCCACAATCAGGTCACCTGCGGGCAGTGTCCCACACCGGACCCACTCCCTGCCCAGCAAGGTGACCATGAGCCCATTCTGTAGCATAGCAGCCAGCGACTCCAGGCCAAAGACGACAATGCAGACCAATATGGGGGAGGAAGGCATCTTCTCCAGCAAGGACCTGTGCGGACCAGCCCTGCGCAAGAATTCAGGGCCACATCCACAGGGAAGATGCCACCTCCAGACAAATCATCCAGCTGAAACTCAGAGGCCCCTTTGCCTGGATTTATGCAAAAGCCCGGCCACCTGCATGGACCAGGTATGACAGGATTTGAAATGAGAATAACTGCAACCTCGTTGGCATGTAAATCCCTTCCAGCTCGATGACACGTGCCTCTCTTTGGATAACCTTCTATTTGCCTGTTCTGCCTCAGGGCCAGGTACAGGGAAACATTAGCAGAACCCACGTGTGACAGGAGACCGAAAATACCCACGCTCTGCACACGCTTCCTGTGTCTTATGAATATGTGGTGGCCACGCACACTGACCACGTTCATGCTGGGATATCGGTGCCTGAGGGCAGCGCACCTTCGTTCTTTCTCTCATTGCCCTCCTGTCCCTTCAACCCTGCTTTCCTTCCCCACTTGTGAGGTTTTCTTTCTAGTTTGTTCCATATTGTTCTGTGCTAACCCTTTCCCCTCCCGCTTTTCCCGCTCTCCCTTCTCTTCTTCCTCAGGCATCTGCACAAGTCCTTCCTCCTGCCCATCATCTGCCCTCCATTCTGCTCCTTCTTTCCCCATGGGTTTCTCACACCACAGGGACGATGCAGTATTTACAAGTGTGTCCAAATTATTTCCCTGAAAGTCATGGCCTTGAGGTGCATCCATTTACTGAAAAAGGTCTCAAGTTTATTCTCATGATGGCAGGGCAGCCATCCACTGTATATAAATTCCACATCATCTTCATTTGCTCATGTATTTTCATTAAGTTTATTGGTTCATTTTTCATGCACACTACAACCATATTCATTGAAATTTGTATGTGTACATGATACATTTTGATTCCTGGGGTGTGGGGTTTGTCTCCAAGGCTTAGCTGTTGTAAACTGTGATGCTGTAAACATTAAGTATGCATAAATCGATATGCTATGAGGCTCTTAATTCTTTGGGGAAGATACCTAGGACTGCAATAACAGGGTCCAGTGAAACTCCTAGTTTGAATCTCTTGAGGAATCCCCGTAGCGATGTTCATATTGGTGGTAGCAGTTTATGCTCCCAGCAACCATAGAGAGGGTCCTTTTCCCCACATCTCCTCCGGCATTTGTTGTCAGTTGATTTCTTGCTTGGAGTGAGATGAAATTTCCATATTGTTTTAGCTTGCATCTCTCGAATGACCAATGATGGTGAACATTTTTTCTTATATTTATTTGCAGTGTTTCTTAACTGGAGTGTTTCTTTTCTAACTTTTCCTCAAAGGACACTTTACTTCTTTCTCCAAAATACAACCCTTCCAGGACACTCTATGTCCTCAGTAACTAGCTGGCAGCCTCTGGACACTGTATTAAGGCTCACTCCATGTACGTGGAAGGGGGTGTCATCTGGGTACGCAAGTATGTCTTCAAATTATCGGGAAAAGCTTCCCTTACTGATGACATTTCATGCTGCCAAGAATCTCACTGGCTGGATCCACACTGGAGTTCACCGGTTCTTCCTAAAATGTGAGCTCCTTGTCTCGCATCAGATCTGTTAGCCACTAATTCCTTAGCGCCAATGCTTTCGGCAAATCAAAATTCTTCAGTTCCTAAGAAGGCTCGAGGAGACAAGAACGAGAGAGTCAGCGGTCATGAGGACAAAGGAAAAACAGAGAAGGAAAAGTGTCCTAGAAGGGATGTCCCAATAGGGGCCAGGAAAGCAAAAGGTGGTGGCCTGTCAAGAGGAGGGGCTCAGGCCCAAGCTGGCCCTCAGGAAGGGACTGCCTCGTGTAGGGTGACCCAGTCGTATAGCAGCACTCAAGGCAGTGACAATCGACTTGCCACAGGTCTTACCATTCATAAGCAACTGCACACATGTAGCATTTTGCCTTCACTGCCAGCCACATGGCGATACCATCAACCACACAAAGTGACCCTGGTTTATTGCAACCAGCCAGGCTCAAGGACCTATGATCAAGGGTCCAACTGAAGTAGGCTACAGAAGGAAAAGAAGCATATGCACAAGAGAGCAAAAAGGGAAAATGAAAAAGGAGGACAGGGCTCCATGACGCTGAGGTGTGGACTCAGATGTCCAAGATCCTGGGTTTGGGGTCCTCCCTAGTGACTCACAGGAGCAACCTCATTGCCAGCCTCACTTAGCCCCAGCCAAGACTCCCCAGGTGAGAGTCTGTGCATGCACAGCCTGAGAGGAACATTTATCTCGGAGACCCCCAGAGAAGGAGGCCCAGCTGACGCTCAACTACAGCTTGTGATGGAAGATCCGCTTTGTTTTCCAGCAAACTTTCAGAAGATTAATCAGATAATCTCATCTGATCCACTGTGTGCAGCCAGCTCCAGCGTCTTGACTCCATCCTTTGCACAATTCCCCTGGCCCCTTCCTGGAAAAGAAGAGATGTTTCGCAACAGTTTGGCTTTTCTCGAAATTCCTTGGTGAGAGGCCAACTTCATGACGTCATCATCGAGCAAGTTGAGGCCACAGCACACACACCCGGTGGTGGCTCTGTGTGAGCGTGTGTGTGCAGCCTGTGTGTGCATAAACACTGTCACATTATTGTACAGTCACTGAAGCCACAACCCTTGTCCCTTCCCCAAGGCTTCTCCTTTTCCTCAGTATGCCAACTCCATGGTCTGCCTGTGTTCTTGCAGCTGCACGCCCTTCTACAAGAACGTAGAGCAGGTACGCTTCCTCGGACATCTGTTCCTCTATTTCTCAATGTTTCACTGTGTTTGTCTTATAAATTGCCACATCTCATTTATAACCAGACTCCAAAACATACCACAAGCAGGACATTAGCTTTAGCACTCTTCTATGTCCTGCAAATACAAACCTGCAACCCAAACACTAGATGTGTCTTGTAAAGGTTTGGGTCAAGCCTTTCTTCTCTGAAGAAATCTCACCCCTGCAGATACAGTTGATGAATTCTTTTCCATGCCATGATTGGCCAACTTTCTCACTAGGATGCAAGGGTCATCTGTCAAAGAAATAATAGCAGGAGGCTGAATTCCAGGTAGAAGTTTCTGCAGAAAGCCACTTGTGCTCTCCCCGTTTTGATTCTCTGAACTAGTAATGGTCTTGGTGGTTTGCTTCTGTTCATTTGTTTTTCATTCTGCTTTGCTTTTTCTTATTGACTCTCAGAATGCACTGAACCATATACATCTCATTTGCCAGGGCTTGTAAATCCTGCTGCTCATTTTCACTGAACCTTTGAGTGACCTGCAGTGCTTAAATGTTTTAATATCCTACCAGGGGCTTCATCAGGTAATTGATGGCTAATGCCAGGGAAAGGTGGAGGAGGAAGGAAATCACAATGTTTTTAATAGCAAGACTGTATATTAAGGTAAGCCATGCACACATTTAGTGATTTCCCTACAGAATTAGTGCTAGATACTTTTTCCCAGACCTATAGACTTCTTCTCATAAACCTACATTTAGGTGAGTAAGTTGAATAAATAATTTAGGTAAATAATTGAGGATAAACCTTGGTTCTAATAAGAATCCAGTATGAGTAGAATTTTAGCTTTCTGGAAGCAAATTTTAAAATGCCCAACATCTTCAATTATCAAAATGTGTAAGGACATTTAATATCATTTCATATGCAATTTACACATTTTGCTTTCCAATAAAAACAACACTTTAAAGTTATTTTTACAATTGTAGTACTAGTCTGCAAGAAAGCTCTGAGTCTACTTTTCTTCTAATCTTTGTTTTGTTTTGCTTTGTTTTGTGGCCATCTCAGCCCACCCTGGGGGCAGGGCCGGCACAGCATGTGGTGCCAGGGATCAAACTACAGTCCCTGCGCACTTTGCTAAGGTAGCCTAAGCGGGTACTTTAGACTGCTGAGCTATCTCACCAGCCTTTTTCTTCTAATCTTTTAAATAATATTTTCTCATAAATCAAACCCACATGTGAAAACATTGTATTGTCTCCTTAGTGTGAGAACCTAAAAGAGAAAAATGGAATCTGACAGGTACAATCAATACTGGGAGGGAGGGAATGAACTTATTCAAAAAGAAAGAGTTACTGAGTTGAGGAGGACAGGAGAGGGAGTAGGGTAAAGAGATTTATCTATGTATGTAAGCAGGATGGTTTGGACAACTGTACTGTGTATTTCTGCTGGCCCATGGAAAGGAACAGATAATACTTAATTTATTTTGTCTCCTTTTTTTCAACTTATTGTACTTTTACTCTTCTTAATTTCTTATACATTTCTTTCTTTTTTTCTTTCTTCTTCCAATTTTACATGCATATATCTGGTAATATGAAAAACTGGTTGGAAGACAGCACTATGTATTACAACAAATACTGCGAAATTCAGCTTACTTTGTTAAGTGAAATTCTGCAAAAATAAATAACATTTTCTCTCTTTCCTGTATGAACTGAGCAGTTGGGAGCAATAAAATTGATCTCTAAAGGAATAAATCAGTGCTCCTTCTATGATGTCATAAATTTCATTCACTGTCCGATGCTCCCTGGGGATAAATCATGTCACACAACTTCTATGTCATGAGTTGACACAGTATGCTTTCCAGGGGGTTTTCATAGATGCCAGGAGTAAGAGAAGAGCTGAGAAAGGAAAAGCACAAACCCTCATCAAACAGAGCTATTCTGTTTATAGATATTTTATATGCTGAGCTTCTACTGAAGATTTCAAAGTCAGGACTCCATTGCAAAAATAAAAAATCTGAAACTGCTGTCCTCAACCAAAAGTCAACCAGAAGGACAAGGACACATGAAGTTCAGGTATCTTCTTTCATCCCTTCCTCTAAACCTTCTAAATTAACTATAAAGAGATTCTTTAAAAATATTCTAAGGCTTCAGTCCATAATAACGGATGAAATGGAAAATAAAAAGGATTTGGAAAAAGCTCCAAAGTAGGGGCGGGGTAGCCAAAGTTGTGGCAGTCATGTGAGAATTGAATCCAACAAGAGTACAAGGAAAAGGGGCTGGGGAGAT